CGTATGTTATGTGGTGTTTGTGCTCATTAGCGTGTAAAAGAAGCCACAAACAGTATATTATTGCCATCCGGGGATAACACGATGAAAAACGAGCTTGCAAACAATAACCTCTAATTGGAGTAGGTACCTATGATTGTTACTAAAACAAGTAAGTACGTCTATACGAGTATCCATATTCCGCAGCCGCATACCCATAACGGCCCCAGCATTGTTAGCAATTCACACGTACTGCATCCTACACTGACAGTGCAGCGACAAGCGGCCGAGTTTTTTCCGTACCATTTTCCGCCAGCGTCCCTTGCCCGCTATATAACCGGCGCTTCCTGTCTGAGTGCCACACTCTGTCCGACTGTTCACCCCGGTGCTGGTCACCATGAAGCTGAAGCTGCTGGTCGGCCTGCTGGCCGCGCTGCTGGCCGTCTCCGAGGCCAGCTACCTGTACCCGCACCTGCCGCCGTGCCCCTACTCGATACCGGATGCGTTCTGCCCCGCCGTCTTCCCGCCGCCTCATGAGTGCGGCGTGCCGGGTACCGGGTGTTATGGATACCACGAGCAGTGCTGCAGGGGCTCGTGCTATAACGAGTGCCAGGTGATTCACCCGTACCCGCCACACCCGCACCCGTACCCGCCCTTCCCGCACCCGCACCCCTACTGGAGGTAGGGTGCACGTCTGGTGAAGAGCGGGCAGATCGGCAGCTGGTGACATCGCCGGCTGGTGAAATCGGCTGGTGAAACTGGATGGTGACGGTTGCTGGTGATATCAACTGGTGAAGATAGCTGGTGAAGCTGAGCCGTCTGGTGAAACATCCTGAAGGAGCCGCCCGGTAAAGCCCCACTGGTGAAGCTCTTTGGTGACACATATACTTGCTGGTGATGCCCGGTGACCGTCAAACATTCCTGCTCGTGGTGCTCAAATTTGGTGACATCAGTGTCGAATTTCTCTGGGATGTGTCCGAAAATTAGCGCAGCTGACTTTTCTACAGGTCTGTTGGCGTCGGCTTAAATCTTGTGTAAAGTGCCATGGATACGTAATTTTAGAGTAGATCGTTCGCTTGTCTTTCCAAGGCTTGGGTCTTATTATTATATGAAGTTTTCCAGAAAAAAATAAACGTGTAATTTACCTGCAAGTGTGTTTAAAAATGGATTTCGCTCGGAAAACGTTCGCCTTATATGCAGCGCAACATTGTGAGATCAGTAGAATAGAGCAACGTCTCAGTTTCATGGGCTGTTCGCACAGTAGGTAGATACCTACAGGCCTACGTGGTACATTGAATTACAGGTACGTTGCAGGTACGTGGACATTTAAGTGAAAATCATCTTATAGTCACAACCATGGACGTCGCCACAGGTGGGATGGGGATGGGGGACACCGTCCCCCTGGAATAAGGGTGTGGGATTATCCCCTCCTCAAATTGAATGTCAATCGAAGTTGTCGAGCTGCTTTTTCTCAATTACCTATTTAGTAACTACAGCTAACGAATAAGCTATACTGGCACGTTCAACCTTAAATGATAATTAAACTGCACCTAGTGTATCGTGTATAGGTACTATTAATTTATTTGTGTCTGTCAAATGTTGACAGAGTTATGCATCTGGTCGAGTTCAAGGCTTAATTGCCAACTTGGATGTAGGAATGGGTAACGACAGAACGTTACCAAGCGTAATGTTACGTGCGATTCCGTTTAAATTTATAATCATTCATATGCTGCATATTATCGGGGTCTCATATCCTAGTCACCAAAACAAGACTTTTATTTTATTACATTTCACGTGATGATAAATCCGTCGATAAAAATGTAGGTACAGTTGATGACGCAAAAACGATTGCGCGCAACTGCTCACTAACAAACACCAGTCATCTATGAAGCACCTCTGAGATACCTGAATCCCGATAGATTGACGTGGCATGTTGCAGGGATTAAATATTCTCAAGAACGTGGCTCAAACTGTCAGTATCATCACACTGTCGTTTTCAGTCCCGATGAAATGGTAAACCGACGTCATCACTCTTTCCTGACGTCATCACTATCAGCCACAGCGAGGCTATACGGCGGCGGCTGGCTATCGCTTTTCGTCGCGGAACTATAGTCCGGTGGGGGGCTGTCACCCCCACCCCTCCCGGCTGACCTCAGGTCAGGTCGCCGGCGGGGAGCATCGAGCGCGTGCGCCGGGTCGGGGCTAGGCGCCGAGGGCTCCACAGAGACGAACTGAGGCGCTGATGGTAGCGATGGAGAAGATGGCGAGAGGTTGGATGTCACGACACTGGAGAACGGTGGAGGAGGTGCGGTCGCCTCGTCACCCTCACAACCATTCGGTCTCTCATCTTCTGCCGAAGACTTGTGCCGTCTGCATTTCTCAATAATAAACACGACGATAAATGCGATGAAGAAGAAGCCAGCGAGAAGGCCCGTGCTGGCGACTGATGAGAATGTTTCACCGTTTCCGAGCTTCATCAGAAATAAAACTACGAAGATGATGTCCAGGAACGCCAAGAAGTTGCGACAGACGATGAGTTTGTCATAGTCGGCGAGAGATACACCCATGGTAGTGTACTCGTAAGTTTAGTTCGATGTTAGTCGCTATATTCATAAGCCTGTCAGCTTACAGTGGCCCGGGCACTACGTGTCACTATCTTTTGACGGTCGTCGTCTTGCCACTCAGTTGCCAGTTCACTGTACTTTAAATGTCTTCTTACCACTGTTCTCAAGCCACCGCGGCCGCGCTTCCGACCGACACCATCTCATCGGTCATTTGACTGACTGCTCTCTGACCGATATCAAAAAGTCAAAACGGTGACCGTTCTGGCCTCCGACTAAAGCACTGTCCAACATCACCGTCACTGAAGTCACTGATGCCATTAACGTCACTGATGTCACTGATCAGGATCACTGGTGTCTGCGTAAGAATCCATGGGCAGGGCCTTCTCCACCAACATACATGCCACGCAGTGTAACGCCAGTGTTTTTATTTCGCACTCCCTCTAACAGGCGGCCAGGCCACAGAACGTCCGTGACATTTAACGATGAGTGTGATCTTCACGGCGAAATTAGCCGGCTTCCAATGCACCAGAGACGACCCTCATCACCCAAAGCACCTACTGCGCGATAAGCAATGTCACCTAAGGCACGCACTCCCCGCGCGGGCCGGCCGCCTGGCATCCACTGGCACTATCCAAGGAGAGCCAAAGATACGAGATAATCGTATCTGGCGTCGGACCGATAGCGAACGATCGTATATATCATATCAGCCCACCCGTGAGTGCCGATAGGAAGGTGCACCAGCCGATAGCAGGTCCGAAAAACGGTGCACTACGATACGGTTAAACGGCCTGTCAGCAATCTTGCATGACAGTTGCAGAGATGATTTACGGGGAGGCGGTGGCCAAGTGACCGATGGCAGTGGATTTTGGTCGAAGGACTGTGGTCAGAAGACAGTTGTCAGAACAGTGGTTGGAGATTAGTGGTATGAAGACACTATTGGTCAGAAGACGGTGACTGAGCGGGCGACTATAGAGGTCAGTGGTCGGAGGGTAGTGGTCGGAGAAGTGGTCAGGAAACTTTGACCAAAAAGTAACCCAGTGGTCATATGATCGAAAATAATGCAATGACCTATTCAAGGAGACAAACTAAGGACCGTCTCAAAGGAGGATGACCGTTTGATGGAAGTTTCGGACGCCTATGACAAAGCTTGTGTTACGAGCGATAAAAGGACAATAAACAGACAAAAATGCCAGCTGACAAATAAATGAGCCGCGGTGCCAGCGAAAAGTCACATCGGCCAGAGGACCTTAATGAAACGAGAACTGTGATATGGCGGTGATACGGCGGTGATAAGGCGGTGATTTACTATGGCGGTAGTGAGAAGGGGAGGCTGAGTTCAGAAGACAGACACGTGAAGACGTTGATTTTATGACAGTGACCTGAATAGACGGTGACCTTATCACCGGGTCACAGACGTCCTCGGTGACGCTAGGACCCGACCAATGGCTACAATGATTGCGACGAGACAAGGGGTCAGCGACCCAGGAGAGTCGCACCAGCCACGCGAGGATGACACTGCCAACGAAGAAACGACAGAAGACTCGTGCTGGACTAGAATTGTATCTAGTGCGAAACAAGTCAACGTAAAAACGGTGCTCTTCGGACTATTTGCAGTTGTACTTGCAGGGGTGTTGTTAGCATTAGGAATAAGCGGGCCCTCAGTAACCATCTTTTTTATTTGTGCCATTCTGGGTCTGGTTTTTGTGGCGGTGATCATATTCGTTATGTACTCGAAACTCCTGGACAGTGAAAACATCTCTGACCGGCGACCTGGCCTGAGGTCAGCTGAGAGTGGCGGGGGTGACACTCCCCCTCCGGATTATAGTTCCGTGACGGCCATTGACAATCAGCCACCGCCACCCTACAGTCTGGCGGTGGCAGCGACCCTGGCTGCGTCCGGCGACAGTGGATACATGGGTCCGTAGAGTGGATACATACGGTGGCTACAGGCAAGGCCGTATATAGGGCTACAGGATAAATAGGGTGAATACATAGATAGAGATGATAGTGATAAATACCTAGGGCCATACCGTCCGGACTGAGAACTAACAACATTCTCGGTAGAAAATGTCCAAAGGTGGTAAAGGTTAGAGTTATAGTGAATGGCGTGGCTTACATGATTGTTTGTTGCGAGTTGCTACTAAATAATATCTATCAATAACAACGATTTTGGACGCTGCGAGAGGAGCAAATTAGCAAAGAGATCTTGGAGCAAATGGCCAAAATGTCCCCTATTGCCTATATGTCCACCAGTGCAATATGCGGATGTGTGTTGCTTTGTCGTAACGTAACACATTTTACAATCATTTGTTTACTGTTGAGTGATTACATTCTTTTATACTTGGCAGCTAAAAATATGTCTGCATTTGTCAGTGGTCAGACCGCGGTGTTTTGTAACATGTGCGTCACTTTAGCAACATTTCACTGTTCGTTTGGTGCCCGGCCGCCTAGCATCTGCTGGGCAGGCCGGGCCGCCGGCCCGTCGCGCGGACCGCCTGTGGCCCGCGCTGGACATGCCGGTGGTCAGGGGGCGCCGCCCCGCGGTGATAGGCGCAAGGCGGCGCGGGCGGGGGCAGAGACTGGGCCGGAACAGCCGACCAGGCCTGAAACTACATCAACCGACGAGATCAGCCGACATCAACTACATCACAATCCAGACAAGGTTAGTGAAGGTAAGGACCCAAAAACCTCGTAACGTAAATGATAGGGTTTTCCCCACGCACATGTAATATAATAAGGTGTTTTGGCCTATATTGCTAATAATTCCACTTATTTGAAAAATTACATTTGCGTGGGTTTCCCTATTCTGCCTTAAAAAGTGGCCACCGGTCTCGCTTCACGAGCCGGATAGCCTCCTCCTCGCCAGGCCGAAGATATATAAGGCCACTAAAAAAAAAAAAAAAAAATATATGTCGGTTGCTTATGTTTTTAGGGGGCCTTCTGGGTAGTCATAAAGCAGGCGTCACACTTCCGGAGGTCCGGTGACGGGCTGTGGCCTTGAGACGGCCGCCGGTTTATTACGTCACAAACGTACTATCGATGCAGAGTTTTCTATCGATGTGAGAGCTTTGATTTACGGAGCGGGGAGATGAAAATGACCAGCGCACAGCGGACGCAGGGAGAGGAAAGGATAAAAAAACTTGGTCACAGCAGCGGACTCGCTTCGAATCCGAAGGTCCCGGGTTCGAATCCCACCATGGCGTTGCCTCAGCGGCCACTTTATCGTAGATACTTTTTTAGTTTTATAGGATTGGGATCGGCAGTGCTGAGGGTGCTAGAGCTTAATTCGACTCCAATGCAGAGGTCCTGGGTTCGAATCTCACCATTGCATTAACTCAGCGGCCGACTGTATCGTACTTTTTTAGTTTTAGAGGGTTCCGCAGTGCTGAGGGTGCTAAAGCTCACTGATTTAACTCCAATGTAGAGGTCCTTGGCTCGAATCCCACCATGGCATTGACTCAAAGACCGAACCTCTACAGTGAGCTTTAGCACCCTCAGCACTGCGGAACCCTCTAAAACTAAAAAAGTACGATACAGTCGGCCGCTGAGTTAATGCAATGGTGGGATTTGAACCCAGGACCTCTGCATTGGAGTCGAATTAAGCTCTAGCACCCTCAGCACTGCCGATCCCAACCCTCTAAAACTAAAAAAAAGTACGATAAAGTAGCCGCTTAGGTAACGCCGTGGTGGGACTCGAACCCAGGACCTCTGCATTGGAGTCGAGTCAGTGAGCTCTAGCACCCTCAGCACTGCCGATCCCAACCCTCTAAAACTTAAAAAGTACGATAAAGTGGCCGCTGAGGCAACGCCATGGTGGGATTCGAACCCAGGACCTCTGCATTGGAGTCGAGTCAGTAAGCTCTAGCACCCTCAGCACTGCCGATCCCAATCCTATAAAACTAAAAAAGTATCTACGATAAAGTGGCCGCTTCGGTAACGCCGTGGTGGGATTCGAACCCAGGACCTCTGCATTGGAGTCGAGTCAGTAAGCTCTAGCACCCTCAGCACTGCCGATCCCAATCCTATAAAACTAAAAAAGCATCTACGATAAAGTGGCCGCTTCGGTAACGCCGTGGTGGGACTCGAACCCAGGACCTCTGCATTGGAGTCGAGTCAGTGAGCTCTTAGAGGGTTCCGCAGTGCTGAGGGTGCTAAAGCTCACTGATTTAACTCCAATGTAGAGGTCCTTGGCTCGAATCCCACCATGGCATTGACTCAAAGACCGAACCTCTACAGTGAGCTTTAGCACCCTCAGCACTGCGGAACCCTCTAAAACTAAAAAAGTACGATACAGTCGGCCGCTGAGTTAATGCAATGGTGGGATTTGAACCCAGGACCTCTGCATTGGAGTCGAATTAAGCTCTAGCACCCTCAGCACTGCCGATCCCAACCCTCTAAAACTAAAAAAAGTACGATAAAGTGGCCGCTTAGGTAACGCCGTGGTGGGACTCGAACCCAGGACCTCTGCATTGGAGTCGAGTCAGTGAGCTCTAGCACCCTCAGCACTGCCGATCCCAGCCCTCTAAAACTTAAAAAGTACGATAAAGTGGCCGCTGAGGCAACGCCATGGTGGGATTCGAACCCGGGACCTTCGGATTCGAAGCGAGTCCGCTGCTGTGACCAAGTTTTTTTTATCCTTACCTCTCCCTGCGTCCGCTGTGCGCTGGTCATTTTCATCTCCCCGCTCCGTAAATCAAAGCTCTCACATCGATAGAAAACTCTGCATCGATAGTACGTTTGTGACGTAATAAACCGGCGGCCGTCTCAAGGCCACAGCCCGTCACCGGACCTCCGGCCGTTAACACGGAAGTGTGACGCCTGCTTTATGACTACCCAAAATTCTCAGTAAGATGGAACTAGTAACTTTTTTGTTATTTTTGATACTATTGTCATTCAAATATTGCATTTTCCTACTAGTTATCTATATACCATGTTCCAACTATTATCTTTCAGACTAGGGCTATAAGGGGCTTGACTTTATAGTTTATAATCACTTCAGTTGGGCAAACTAGGCGGCGGGAATCAAAATATGGAGGCATCAAAATATTGATTCTAGTGGGCGGAGCTTTGACCATATATGGGCATACGTGCAGACCATCACAGAAACGTCAATTCTTCAGCAACCGGCTACAATTTCAAGATAGTTTCTTCACAAAATGAAGAGCAACGTTGAAGCTACCCGCCAGGCAAGAAACAATAGCCTTAACCTCTTTGGTTAGTTTAGGAAAGCGTCTTGAAAATAATCAAGATATTGATTCATCACGGCGGCTTATCCCGGCGAGAATCAATATTTTGATTCCGCAAACAGCTGGCTAATCATTATTTTGATTCTGAAATCAGCTGGTTTATCAATATATTGATTCTGCGAACTGACTTTCTGCAGACGTACTTCACTCTTCAAATTGATTTATGGAATATTTCTTGTGTGCAAATAATGCAAATTCAATAAATTCATGAAGATATTATCAGCACAGGATCGTGTAATTTTTTTCTAGACCTTATTCCCACGGTAGACCAGGGATTTTCAGCACTCACCCTGGCTCCCTGCTCAAAGCTGCAAGCCTTCGAGGGAATGCGTGAAGGGAGCCGTGCTGACCTTCGTATAGGGGTTGTACTGAGTCGGAGCCGGAACCGAAGCCCGACCATTTTACTCGGAGCCGGAGCCGGAGCTGGAGCCGATTTTTTCCTCCGGAGCCGAAGCCGTCTGACATTTTCACGGCTCCACATCCCTGCTTTGTAGCATTGATTTTGAGTAAAAAAAAGTTAACTTATCGTCTTTCACGTGTTCATGAATGTGTTTCTACGCATGTGTATCCCGTCCCATTTCTGTGGAGTACCTACAGTAAGAGATATTTCGCCGAGCAATATACTCAAGCCCGTTGCACTAATTGCACAATTTGAATGAAAATATGATACACGGATGTATTTGCATTCGCAAATAATACGATGATATTCATAACACATTTCACAACGATCCCTGCAATTGCCACACATTTGCCATCACAAAGCCCTGTCGTTGATGCTCACATCCCATGCAAAGCAATACTCACTTTTAGGACACGTCTCTTATTCAATATGGTTACGTATTTGCAAAACATGCAGTTAATAATATTTGAAACTGAGACCTAACCAATAAAACATACCGTGGACAGGTAAGAAAAAAACAAATAAACGTCTGGAGAATGACCTCAACGTCTCGATGTTGCCTAATTACAAAGAGCAATTTTCGGTTTCGAATCAAATACATCAAAACAAAATTTGTACAGATACACTCAATATAGGGTTTATGATTAGCACGGCTACCTAAAACATCAATCCTGTCAGGTTGAGCCACTTATGTCCACACCCAAAGCAGGTCGCTTTGGAACACCACAAGATCCCATATTACCACCGAAAACGGTCACCAATTGGTCTACTGATCAGCATCTTCAGAACATTCTCGACCGAAAAGCTATCAGTCCTGTCTGTGTTTTGGTTCGCTTCATTTGGGCTATGCGCACGTTTTTCTACTCCGGTTCTAGGGACGAGATAGCAGTCATCACGCGCTGCACCAGCTCGTTCTTTGACAGGTTGGTGACGCTGTCGTCATCCGGCAGGATAAACACGTGGCGCATTTCACCCTCGGCCCCGCCAGCCACATACACACTTCCTTACGTCATATTGTTTCTCGCCACGAGATCAAAGTTCAAAAGGTCGTGATGTAGGTAGTCTCCGCCCAGCCCGAGTCAGGTACTCCACCGGTACCTACTCGGGTGCGGCCAGGTCCGCGCAACGCCGCCCAACTTCGGTCGACGCTCTGGTTGACAGGGATGGCGTTGTCATACAGTTGCCTGTCGACTGAACAGCGATTCAAGACGCCATCCTTGACCCTCTGAAGCCGATCCCCGCAACGACCAGTGTTTAATCCTTGGTTGACCTGCAGCAAACAACAGAACACAATAATTAGGACATTTGTGGACAATAAATTAGGAAACTATATGTGTTATTAATCTACTTGTTCAGCAGCTATTAATTTTAGAATATATTATTCAATAAAAAATTAAATAATTAATGTCACTTAAATTTCCACTGAACGCCACCAAGTGCGCCAACAACTGTCATCTCATGCAGTTATATAAATTCTGCCAAAAAAGTAGATCTGAGACCAGTTATACCAACAGAAAAATAGGTGGCTGCTGGATTTCTTTTTTGTCTAAAAGTTACTTCACATACAGAGCATGAACGGTACAGCCCTATCCGTTTACGTGCCCATTATGTTAACGCTCCATATGTGAAGCAGTCTTTAGGCAAAAAAATTCCAGCAGGCAGCTATTTGTGTTGATAAAACTGGCCTCTAAAATTAACTTTGGCATGGACAATCCTGAAAATTAACTATCCAGCATTCCCTGGACTGACGTACATTAGACACGTAATTTTCTTGAAGAACACGCATAATGTAAATATGGCTTACACCATTCAGCAACTTGCTTTTGTTACACTTAAAATAAGCACCATTAAATATGTAGCAAAATTGGGCAAAGCAATTACAAGCCAAGCATACATACCTACTATTTAGATAAGGCAAACACGAACATGCACTAAGACCTTTCAATCTTAACTCGGAACAAGTCAATAACCTAGTTGCCCTTAAAAATTTAAATGCTACAAATTAAAGTTGTAGCAACAATTGGGTGAGTGAGACACAAACAGAGGCTAAAACATCCAAATTATGTAAAATACTGGACATGCACTGCCCCCATTTCATGAGTCCACCCAACAATTCTATCATGTGAGACAAAACATTAGGCTTCTTGTAACTAATTTATACCGTAACTTTTAAAGGACATCATATTTCACTGAAATACTACACCTAAGACATCATTTTCAAAAAATATAGCTTAAAAAGACAATAGAAGAGTGAGAAGGCGTCCCGCGCCGCTGACGTCGCTACCGCGCCATGTTCCTAAAACCATCTCTTAAACGAGTTTTCGGTAAGAAACGTTAAGATCACATGCCTGAAATTGAAAAACACACTTCAAAGTATCTTAAAATATGATCCATTGTTACTTACACTTCAGAAAAGGTCGCTTAAACAAAATAAAACCGGGAGCACTACGCTGCATCTGAACACCCACGACGCCGGCGCGAAATGGCGGGAACCGGAAATCGTGGCTAGATACAAAGAAAAATAATATTTCTTATAAATGAATTATACAACTAAATAACGCATTTTTTATTTTCTTTTAGACAAAATTATGAAAAAATTACAAAGGCTCGTCGTTAATGATAAACAGAGCAAGTTTTAACAGCACGTTTTTGTTGAATTATGGCGGCGAAATCTTTATGCCATTCGTAAAGGTACGCGCGACAAACGGCTGATAGCCATGCAGCGAAAAATTGAAGCGGGGAAGTTTTTTGTATTGACTTGTCAAAAAATCTCGCCGTCATGGAGGTTATTTCCGCCGTAACGGGTCGTCTGAAGGTGGGAATGTCCCAAATTGAATCAAAATATTGATTCTATGCCCATATATGGTCAAAGCTCCGCCCACTAGAATCAATATTTTGATGCCTCCATATTTTGATTCCCGCCGCCTAGTTTGCCCAACTGACTTTGCATTTTGCACTACAATGCACTACAAATCACTTGACATTTTGTAGTTTATACACTAGCTTTTTTGGGGGGGAGGGAAGTCTGATGGCCATATCCCTTCTGTTCCTTTGGATCTACTTATGGGTGCCTGTTGGATCACTACTCATGTGTCTCTTATCCACTGTGTCTCTTATCCACAGTGAGTGGAGAGGAGGAAAACCTCGGCAGAGGGATGCTGGGTGGTGAGAAGCTCAGATCGTTCCAGACTCCAAAGCCAGTAATAAGGGATAGGTAATGTTGATAGACTAGCAGTAATGCCAGTGACATAAGAGCCCGGAACAGCGATGAATGGAGGTATGGCTCAAGGGTCAAGGGTCGCTGACCCCGAAGAACCAAACCAGCAACATCGTGTTGGTCTTCATGTTAGCGTGGTGGAGAACAACGCTGCCCGAGAAAGCATTACCTTAGAATCCTGCTTGGCGAGGGCGCAACAAACAATCGACATGAAATGTGTGGTGTTTGGAATAGTTGTTATAATTCTTGGAGCAGCTGTACGAATCTTTTTCTACGGAGGATCCACGAGCGGACTCACCTTCATTTTTACGGCAGTGGGTGTGATCATGATGGTGGTGGCGGCATTCATATTTTACACCAAAACTGCGGGTGGGCGCCGGTCACCGGAGCACCCGAGCTACACCTCTGCGGGTGGCCCGTCTGTGATCCACGTTCCGCCCGTGGTTCATGTTCCGCCCGTGATCCCCGCTCCGCCTGCGAGCGGTGGTCGAGACAGTCCGCCGCCAGACTACAGCTCGGTGATGACGGACAGACACACCGACCCGCCGCCGCCCTACACTGAAGCAGTGGCTGATGGTAACAGGGAGGTGCGCAAAGAGTGAATGATGCCTGACTGCCTTGCCGTCTAGCAAAAGCCGATGGTGCTAACAGAGAGGTGCGCAAAGAGTGATTTATGGCCTGACTGCCCTACGGTCTAATAGTGGCCGATGGTGCTGAGTGCTAACAGCCGGGTGCGCAAGGAATGGCTTATGACCTGACTGCCTTACGGTTAAACAAAGGCCAGCAGAGAGGTTTTTAAGGAAGGAATAGGTAACGGCCAGGTCACCGTACAGTCTGCCGGTGACCAAAGATTGAGACGGGGGATCCGTATCAGTAAGAAGTGAGGTAATCTCGGCCTAAACGGTCGGCACCGTGGACAATTATGCCGACAAGGAAGTCTTTTTTTTGGACTGAGATCTGACCGCGGCATCCCTGCAGCCTGCAGCCTGACATAGTGTTGACTACCTTATGGAGACAAGAAGCACTAATGATGTAAGATCTGACCGTCACCGATGGCGGCTACCAAAGAGGCCAGTGAATTTCTGTGCACTTGATCATGTTGATCGGGGATATGTGACTGATAACGTTTTGTACATACTAGTACATGTGGAATTTGGCTATCGTATAGGTACCTCTTTAGACTAGTCCAGACCTGTTGTGCCTGAGCCAGACAAAGCCAGACAGGTGTGCTTTAATCTTATAACTGATTGTGATATAAGGCGCCAGTGCTGCTTATCTCAACTGCCTTTATTGGAAATGTTTAAGTCACTGTCCAGCAACTTTTACAGCTTTATCGATCACCAAGCGATGCGTCTTTTTTATGTCGCGTGAGATGCGTGGAGTAGGTAAGGTGTTTTGTTGAATGGGACGTATGATGTCATGCTGCGTGTCGAGATACCGAGCAATAATCGAGTGCCGGATTTATGCGCCCTGCATTTACCAGAGCCTTGCCGGTGTCCATAAGCACAGGGAGATAAAAACTGTGATTGTCTTAGATGTGATACGTTTTGGGCTGCTTAATACACCATCTTTTCAGTGATCCTGTCAGTTGTAGTAGGTATGATATATTGTGGTTCTATGGTTGAAATGTACGGGATGGACGATTGAACGTCAGACGCCAGCGAGAGTGAGGCACGGATGATGTGGGCTAATCGGTGAGTTGCGACTTGCGAGTGGTTGGCATGGTGAGATTAATTCTAAGGTCGTTGCATATCTGATTGTTAGGCTGCGGAAGACGAGTTTTTTTTTTTTTTTTGTTCATATTAGTGTTACGTGCATGACGTGTTCATGTGCCTCCGCCTCGGCTCAAACCCTAAAGCCTGACCCTAAGTCAGGCTTTAGGGTTTGTTTATTTTGTTTATTTAGGGTTTTAGGGTTTGACTTAAGTCAAACCCTAAAGTCTTCGCCTGAGCCCATTTGACCGACCGCATGAGGCTGAACCATGAAGATTCGGACAGGTGTCGATGCTGCCTTACGTTGGTGGCGTCAGCTAGGGGTGTTTTGTTGCAGATAACTAGAAAGTTAGCGATCACTGGGCTGGGCGCAGTTATGTTTTAGGGCCTTGGCCGCAATCATTCCCCAAACAGGAACGGCCACGTCGGGCCGCCGTAGAGGAGCGATTGTCCTCACATCTATACCAAAATTCGTGGTTCCCGATTCTACCTATAGATGACGCTCTAAGCGGACAGCACCACAATGCCGCATATCTCTGTGTGCGCCATTATTGGGCCTGTTCCAGCGCCTCCAGAAGAAATTCTTGACTGGAGGCTCTACCAGAGGTTTTACTGGAGGCGCTGGAACGCAATCTGGAGATTTCTGGAGATTGGCGTCAGAGATACCAAAAGAATGACGATTGTTCTCACTTGAAACGCAAAATTTGTTTTCAATTTTAGTTAAAAAGATAAATAAAATTATAGCAATGTAATTTTCTTTACATTCAAGTTGTAAAATTATCAGTCAAATGTCCTTTGTTTACATTCGTGATTGTCACATGTGCGCCATAATTGTAGACCAGAGCCTCCAGAGAAATTTGGACCTCTCAACTCTCTGGAGGCTACTGGAGGTTTCTGGAGCTTTGGCGAGAGCTTTCTGGAGCTTTCTGGAGGCGCTGGAACGCTCTCTGGAGGATTCTAGAGCTTTCTGGAGCTTTCTGGAGGTTTCTGGAGGCGCTGGAACAGGCCCATTGTCATTTTTTGTATATGCTGTGGAATAACGCCGACATTCGCTGGAAACTAGTAAATGTAACGAAATATTTGTTTTACTTGTAAAGTGTGCACCGTCTCAATTGTCTAGGAAAAAGTATTAGTCAAATGTCAATAGTCGCGACGTTAAATTTTTATTTTCGGTCTTTTATTAGTGATTCCAATTCAACAAAGTACCCAATCTCCCATCCATTCTTTTCTGTCTTGGCGTTTCAGACGCTCAATATTGATGTCAATGTATGCTTTTATGAATATCCATGATAATTATACAGGCTTTTATGTTTGGGCGTGCAAATTGAAGTGTATCCAAGGCCATAGTGTATCATAGGACATAACTCAGTAGGCGGAACTATGGTCATGAGTACCCAAATATAGGAACGTTCCCAATTTTGGGAACGGAGTTCCCAAATATGGGAACGGGCGTTCCCATTTTTGGGAACGCAAGGTAATTTTTCGGCCGTTCGCCCACTAAAACTCATTAGTGCATCACGTCTCAAAAAAGTGCACGCTAATTTAAGTATCTACTAAATCTCTATAAAATTATCTTTAATCTGACCGTTGCACAAGGAAATTGACCGTCGAATGATATTTTTAATGATTTTTTGAAATGACGGAATGGTGAAAACATGGGTTATACTACATTTAACTTGCAATTTTAAGGAAAATGAAGCGTTTTTACATTTTGAGGTCAAGTATAATAATTTTCGCCTGGTTATGAAGTTTCATACTAGCGACACCAGATGCTGACATATGCAAGCGAACACGCGGACAGTCCGGGGGTAATATTGGTGACATTTGGTGTCGGGGCGCACGACCGCATGGAACGTCAGTGATTTTACCGAACTACTGTTGTAAACTCAGTTTCAGTGGTTTAGAATTATTCAGCTGTATTATATCATCCCAGATAGACATATTTTATTTGGATGCTAGCTGTTTAGAGTTGTTTTATAAGGAGCGTCATGAGCGTGGTTTTTGTCTTCCGTGTTTCTAAGCGTGATCGTTTTGGGGGAATTTCTCTTATATAGGTCGCTCTGTGTGGCTTATTTATAATTTTTATGCTGATTTCGATCATTCCTCGTGCCCATCCTACCAGGCCTTTTGCCACTTACACTCATCAAGAAAGGAAAAAACTAGATTTTCATTGGGACTAGGTGTTTTGAGGGTGTAACATATTCAGCGTTCCCATTTTTGGATACTTCCTTGTGCTCGTCAACTATCGGTGATAAACAGACAGGTGCTTGACATGTCTCCACCCTCGGCGCGGACGGTGGATATAGGTATGGAAGACCTTGTTGAACATCGCTGAGCGTTGTGAATTACATAATCCTGCAGAGGGGGCGTGCCCGCTGCGAGATCGACGGGAATAAAAGCGCAGAAGACCGGGCGAAACATGCGACGGTCTTGCCGGAAAGGTCATCTGATGATTGTTGCGTTAACAATAATTTGCGGCGTTGGACGTGATGCTTGTTAATGAAAAGAGCCCCTGAAAGGCGTCGGTGAAATCGTTCCCAATTTTGGGTACGCCGTTCCCATAATAAGGAACGCTTGCAGCGCCAGTGTACGAGAGCGTTCCCAAATTTGGGCTCGCGGCCCGGATGATGGACTGCTTTAGAAATAGGGGAACGATTTGAAACTACGATGGGCCTTACAATATCAAACTCTTTCCCAACAATATTGAGACAAATATCAGGTGGTTCACGATCGTTTTATATTTTTTGGACGTCATTTAACGGTTCTTTTTCTTGTTTTAAATAATGCCTACATGGCGTTCCCATATTTGGGTTTATCGTTCCCAAACATGGGAACGAAAATGCGTTCCCGAAAATGGGTACGCTTGACCATAGTTCCGCCTACTGAACTTGATTCTTTAGGGACTCGTGGATCGCTCAATGGGTGTTTCAGTTTGCAATAATTAATCTGGGTTGTGGAAATACGTTCTCACTTGCTCAAATAGCATTGAGCTAGGCTGTATATGACTTTTAGGGTCCATTTGAATGCTCTACTCAAGCGATTTTGCCTCTAACCTAACCGTGCGCAGAGTGATTAAGAACTTAAAGCGTACCAGTGTGCAAGTTTGTCAACAGCGCAATGCACACTGACTTAATTGGCTCTTCTCTACCCCACAGGTCATTAATCCAGTAATCCCCACCAGTGGGTGACTGAAGACCGCCCACCTGCAGAACTGGTGTGCTGTGACTGCAGGCGTCGCCCCTCCACTGTGGGCCGTCTCCCTCCGCACAGGCATCACCATGACAGACTACGCGGCACAGCTCCTCAACGAGCTGATGGGCCGCAACCGCGACCTGCTGCCTGACCAGCAGGCGCAGAAGCTGTCCTACGACTCACCAGAGGTGAGGGACTGGGGTCTGGAAGTGTCTTTTTCAGAGAGTATGTTTTACAGAGGACCAACTGGATACTAAGCTCTGACAGAAATGTAGCTTCAAGTACCATGTTGCATTTACAGATGATGATGTTGGAGGTGAGGAAGGGAGGCTATGTTGGGAGAAAGTTGCCTAGCTTGCTAGGTCAGTTGATCTGTATGGCTTGGCTAAAACATAGATTAGTGTCAATGAGTGTTTGAAGTTCAACATATCACAAGGATATTTTGCTTCAATTCTGCTTTGATAACTCAGGTATGCTGTGCTCTGTCTGCAATGTGATGCGATGGCAGGAGTGTGGTATGACATTCAACGGTCAACAGAGGCTGAAAATTTCCACTATCTCACCATCTGACTGTAACTAACCTGCCCCCATCTCCAGGTGTGCCGCTACTACCTGGTAAAGCTGTGCCCGCACGACCTATTCACCAACACTCGTGTTGACCTCGGGCCGTGCGGCGGTATCCATGACGACGACGCACGTGAAGAGTTTCTCAAACTGCCCTCCTATCGACGGGTGGTGTATGAGGACGAGTTTCTCCGGTACTGTCAGGTTAGTGCCGCGATGGGTGGGGCAGGATCATAGTTGGTAGCCATTGGTGTCAGTAATTGACGATGGCTGATGGGTGTAAAGGCGATGCCTGAGCGCGTAGGGCATCATGAACATTTTCTTTTCATGTTCTGGCTTTAACTTGACCATATGTTGCTTGTCCATCTTTTTGACGTTCATGCTTTTACTTACTAAATTGCCATTTATATGTCTATTTCTCTGGTCTCTTGCTCTTTTACTCTCTGATTCGGATAGGTATAGTTCATAACTGATGACACGCGTCTCGGTAAGTAAGTCCGCGATTTCCCACGCCTCTTGGCTCTACACCTCCCCTTGCCTATCCCAACCCACCACTTTTCCAGTCGATGCTGAACGAAGTGGAGCGCAAGATTCGCAAGTCCCGCCAGCGTCTGGAGCTACAGCCCGATGACGAGAAGCTGGCCTCCCTGGTGCCTCCACAGTTCAGCCGACAGGAGGAGCGTATCGCCTCGCTGACCGGACGGATCTCCAAACTGGTCAACGAGGTGGAGGAACTGGGCTGCAAGGGACAGGTGAGAAGGAGGACGGGAAGATAGGAAGATAGGAAATGTGAGGGAGATGGAGTGAGAGGGGAGCTAGTTAAAAGGAGAGGAGGTGAGGGAACCTGGGAAGAGAGGAAAGAAAAGATGAGGCTGGTCGATGGGTTGGATGGGAAGCAGTTGGGGATGGGACATCGGTAAGAGGTCATGTGCTAGGTGTAGGGTGAGGAAGGGATTTCAGAGATGCCTGTAAAGAGAGAGCTAGATTAGGGTAGTCGTTTTTTATCTAAATCATAATGTAGACCAATGCTGGTATTGATGCGTATTGGTTTTACATATGGGTACCGATGTTGATGTATTGGTGTTACATCCGGCCCTGGTGCCTCTGACGTGTGTTTTAGCGCTTGTTTGGGTTTCCAGGTGATTCTGACTGGTGTATGTGTGTTTGTTTGAGATTCCAGGTGGAGGAAGCTCAGAGCCTGATGCGTCTCTGCGATAAACTGAAGGACGAGCGGGATCGTCTGAGAAGGAACAACGAGAGCTCCGTGTGGCACCAGGTCAGTAAGAACTATCGAGGCTTCCTGCGGTTTAACCTACGGCCTAAAACACTTTCACTGCAGCAGTTTCTGTCGTGAAAAAACTGCTGATTTGTGTTTCCGAATTATATACCTGTAACCGAAACTGAAAAAGGTTTTCTCCTCAAATGGCTTACTCCTCGATCATACCTAGGTAATTACTTGTGGTGTTATAAGGAGATGACTATTTCTGTGCATCGCTGTGCCCCTCACGCCGTATATAACCTACCCTTCCCTTCTCTCCCCCTCAGGCAGCTGAGATGGCGGCCTCACAGGAGAAACAGATGCAGGTGTGCGACATTTGCGGCGCCTTCCTGATCCTGAGTGATGCACAGCAGCGTATCGACGACCACCTGACCGGAAAACAGCACCTGGGCTACGCCCGGCTCAGACAGGTCGTCGAGGAAATGAGGGTAAGTTAGATCAGGGGAGGATATTGTCGATCTTTCTGCCACCTAGGGGAAGAGGGTAGTAAGAACTTACCTTTGACTGGGGAATGGCATACATGAGTGAGGGCGCGTGAAGCTTCTTATACAGGAACGTGGATGAGACTTCATTCCAGTAAAACCTGCCGCCTATTCCTGTTTATAACAATCAAACTTGTCCCTGAACCTGCAGAATCGTATTTCTGGGCAAACGAACAGGTGGCAATAATGGAATCAGGTAATCAGAAGGATGGTCAATTTCAGTGCTTTTCCAGGTTGTAATGTATCTTTTAATGAATGAGGGATTGAATCGATAAAGGAATGATACGGAAGAGACAGATAATTACCAGTATAACGCCTTTTGGGGCGACTAACGGAGCGAGCGAGAGGGTGGGCCTTGCACGTGCGAAATTTCGAGGGGGTACCTTCAACTGACTTGTGCACGGCACCCTACTAAGCGGTCTCTAGCGATGTGCCAAATTTGAGCACAATCGGCCCAGCCGTTTCGAGATCTGGAAGCGGCACCCTGCACGTGCGCACGTGCAAAATGGGTCCCAACTGACTTGTGCACGGCACCTTACTAACTGGTCCCTAACCGTATACCAAATTTGAGCGCAATCGGTCCAGCCGTTCTCGAGATCTGGAAACGACCCCTGCACGTGCGCACGTGCAGCAGCACCCCAACTCTGGCACATGGATATGCATTGCCTAGTGGGTGCCTACCTACATGCCAACTTTCAGCGCAATCGGTCCAGTAGTTACCGAGATATTGCAACTATTACAAAAGTGACACCTCTTCGTTTTGCACGTGGCACGTGCATAAGGGGTCACCCACATGCATCGAGAATCATCCAATACTTGGTAGAAGGAATGAAGCTACCCTACAAAAATTACCGCATGTAAATCGGTCAAGTGATTGCTGAGATATAAGCGTCGCAGAATCGTGACCACGGCCGGCCGGCCGGCCGCTCATACTCAGAAATTTCCGTTATTCCACGTAAGACTCCGCTCGCTTCGCTCGCTCCGTAACCACAGTGTGTACTGTTCGTCTCTCTCGCAGGAGGGTAGAGAAAAGGAGAAGAAAGACCAGGAGGCGGCCCGTGAGAAAGAGCGGGAGGAGCGCCGGCAGAGGGATGCTGCGGCCGTGGCAGAGCGGGAGAGAGGGTCGCGCTCCGACCGAGACAGAGAGAGGGAGAGGGAACGGGAGCGGGAGAGAGCGGCCAGGAACGGAGAGCGGGAGCGGAACGGCGAGAGAGAGCGGGGAGGAGAGCGGCGACGGCACAGGTGAGGGGGGGAGAGAGAGAGAGGGGGGGAGGGATCAGGGAGAAGGAGTGCATCGGAGGACATGGTGGTTTCGACGAGTAGATTTGTTAATTTGTCGCTCGGGAGTTGCTATTCTGTCCGTTGCACATTTGGATTAAATTGATAAGATTTAAGTATTGTAGGTGTTTTCAGTTTTCAGTATTTCAGCCGAAGTTTCTATGGGTGAAAACTTCCACTGGCGTCTAACTGAGCAGACGTCCAAGTTGGCGTCTAACTTGGCGTCTAACTGTTGGACGGAGACTTCCAAGCTGGACGCGTCTAAAGTTAGCTGTCGCCAGATATACGCAGCCGCCGTCCAGCTAGACGCGTCTAGCTAGACGCAAAATGGAAGTCTCCACCCTTATAACAATGATTCGATAATTCCAGATATGTCAAATTATCGATTTCGAAACTCACATTTTGCTTGTATTCCACTTTTTTTGCGTCACGCGCTCTATTGGTACATTTCTAACCCCCTCTGTGCACCTTCACTGGGCAGAAGTCGGAGTCGGGACCGAGACCGTCACAGGTACCGCGACTCCGAGAGGCGAGACCGCGATCCAGAAAGGCGGGATCGTGACTCAGAAAGACGAGATCGTGACTCAGAAAGACGGGATCGTGACTCAGAAAGACGGGACCGAGATCGAGATCGAGATCAAGAAAGAAGAGACCGTGATCCAGACAGAAGAGATCGCGACTCAGAAAGAAGAGATCGTGATTCAGAAAGAAGAGATCGCGATGCAGAAAGAAAAGATCGCGATCCAGAAAGAAGAGATCGTGATCCAGAGAGGCGGGACCGTGACGCGGACCGGCGGGACCGAGACCGAGACCGCGGCGGTCGCGAGCGGTCCGGTCGTGGCGCAGAGGCTGACGGCGACAGGGACAGACACTCCCGGCGCTCCGGCAGGAAGTCTCGATCGCGCAGGTGAGAACTGGGTATATTCAGAACTGTATCTGTGCCTGTGTGTTTATGAGGTCTACTCCTTTGCTAGAAAATAATGCGTAATAAATCGGAATCATGGAACTTAAATAGCGAATAAGTAGTTTTGAGAAGGATGATGGTGATTTGTTTGGGAAACATGGTGGTTGCTCCGAGCTCGGTATAAATAGCATATTCATTCCAGAGAAAGATGCGTGAATAGTGCAGAAAAAAAGATCACGAATAAATCATTTTGCAAAATAATGTGAGCGGCTACTCGTTTGTGACATGCGGGTGTTGCAACCATGTTCAGGATGATTGTTCCTTCACTATCATGTGACCCAAGCCAAAAGAATGCCACCCTCTGGCCTGCTTCAATGAGTAGGTAACAGGTAACAGTTGCCCCAGCAGTGTGTAACCTGTGTCCATTTTCCTTTGACAGCCACAGCCGACGCCGGTCACGAGAACGACGGGACTCACGGGAGAGAGCGGAGGGTGAGTTAGAGAGAGGGTAGGAGGAGGATGGGTGGTGTGGGACGAAAAAAAAAGAGTTTGGGACTCCCTTGCCGCTGAAAGGTCTTTGTGAGAACTGTGAGAGAAGCCACTGAAAAAGGCAGGATGGTAGCGTTGTGATTCGTGAGCCTTTTGGAGTGACGATCTTTAGAGACGTCCATTCTCTTTTTAATCTTGGGATGTGTTTTTATTTGCTGAATGCCGATTGTGCATTATCTTGAGCAAGGTTTGTGCCTAGGTAATTTATAAAAAAAAACTTGTGTTTATAGATACATTCTTTTGTTCTTCGTGACTTTCTCGTCACGTATTCCTCACCTCTCTGTGCTGTGTTTCAGAGCCGGTGCGGGGCTCTACGGAGCGGACCGGTCCCCGCACGCCGTCCGCCGAGCCCCCAGACAGGGGAACGCCCACATGAGGTACGGGTACGTACAGCTGGGGACGGTAAGGGAATACTTACCTGAGGTGCAGTAGGTCTACAAAATAAGTCCCCGCCGTATGCGGGTCACCAGTGGGCAGTTAGCGCCTGAGCGCTACTCAGGCGCCACCTGCCCGCATACGGAGAGGACTTATTGTGTAGACCTACTGAACGGGTAGGCTATTTTAGCAGAGAAACGATACAACGGGGATGCAGGCCGCGGACGCCGGTCGGAGATGCGATGCATGTTTTATCCGAGGGTCCGGGGGTGTAACTTAGGCGATATGGTGGAGCTTCGTGTTTTTGTTTGAGGGAGGGGGAGTCATGGGGGTTAGGCCCCTTCGGTCTGACGAGACCATTTCAGGGCCATAAAGGTGATAGGAATTAGGGGGAGACATTGGTCTGGGCGGGCACTCTGTGAGTCACCGGGGCTGAGTCCGTCCAGAGGACAGGCCACCCAGCCCCGCTAACGGTCACCGCACCAGGCCATGGGCCTCAGTGCTCCTGGGGTGGAGCTGCCTATGTGGGATAAAGGGACCTTCCAGCCCGGAAAAAAGGGGGAGGCGTGCAGGAGAAGGATTTGACTGTCTGGAGGATGGAAACGACGGGACAGAGATGAGTGAAATATGTCATGTGCTAGATCATAAATAGTCTAATGGAATGACGGCTCTCTCCCTTGCAGCTGCCCTGTCTCCCGTTTGGACGCACACCATCTAGCGACAGAATTGCGAAGCTGAGCCTCTGCAGCCTCCGCAAGGTGGGACCGACGCTGGCGCTACCCTCCCCAGCTGATAAATACACCCTGACATTGGCAGTGGTCCCCTGGTGCAGGTCACGTGGTCTCACTACGGAGAGATGACGTGCAGTGTGTCGAAACACGTGACCTTAAGCCCCTCTTGTGTGCTTCTCGCCAATTCTGAAGGGGAGCTAAGTCTGGTATGAAATTTGTTTTTATTTTGTTTTTAGGTAGGAGAGACCAGGCACAGGGCAAGTGTTTTGACCTTTTTCTATGGTGAATTGTGTTGCTTGTGACATGTTCTGTGGACTGAGATGCAAAAAGAAGTTCTTTAACAATGGGTATGAGGAGATGCTCGTCCAATGAAAATGGTTTTGTGCGAGTACTGTGGCGGGTGGTACACGAACTCACACCATAGTTGTTTGTTTTTAGTAGTATGTCTTTGAATGAGTGCGGAACGTTCGTTTTTTTCTGTGTCGCGATGAGTGTATAGATTGGTCGTCGGGAAAAAATTTGAAGAAGAAAATACAGGTAAAATTAGTATTGTGTTCGTCTGTACCATAAATTTTTATCAACTACTGACAGTATTGACTCTAAAAATCGAAAGCTACACATGAAAAATCGTCAAAGTGCATAACCACAGAGAGAACTGGCTGAAAGATTAGGGTGTTTTCAGCGCAGTTTGGGAGCCTTCTTTACTCACAATTTGCACTTGACTGGGAAAGGCTAAAATTGATATTGAACATTTCACTGTTAACGGGCATTGTGGGATTGAGCGTTAGGGATCATGAGGCTTTTGTAAAAACTAAAAAGGTCCCCTAATCGAGGATTGGAAGCTATCACCCACGAAATTCACCATTGAGAGCAAAATATTCGATATCGGCTTATTCAGGAGAAAATGTTTTACAAGGGAGGTTATGACTTCGCAAGAGACCGCTGTATTCTGAACTTGCCCAAGCATTATTGCGCTGGACTTACATTTTTGCAGACATTGCTTCGCGGCTGGGCTCAAGGAAGGGTTTGTTTAATCGATAGTTTCTCTTTTATGAGGTGGGTGATGGACTGTCAAATGTTGGCATCTTTCATCTTTCAAAGGTTCATCTCGCCCGTGGCGCGCTAACCATCACACTAAGTAAAACCTATTACATAATAGTCGACCTGGGATAAAAACCTGGCAAAAAACGGCAGAAACCTCTTTACCAAATCGCCAACAGGACACCCGGACCGGACCTGCCCATTCCGTTCCACCGCCTCACCCAGGAGAGGTCCCTCCTCAGTGAGTGCCGATCTAGCCGGATTCATAAGACCTTGGACTCGTTTTCCGGCGCCGCTCCAAACACCGACCGTCCTCCTCGTCTCTACCTTTCCCCCTCCTCACCTCTGCCTTTCCGTCCCTCCTTCCCACCAATCTTCCCTCGGTCATTAGGACATTTACCCAACCATTCGGCGATCCCGGATCTGAAATCACACGGTCGGTTCTAAAGTGCGTGCGTATAGTGTTGGCAGCAGACAAAAAAAAAGATTTCTGAATGGTGAGGCTGCTTCTTTCTCGTCTCATAAGTTTTCTTATGTCCAATGAATTATATGGGCCCCATTGAATATTTGTGGTTTTGTGGATCAGAAACGGTATAAAACTCGTTTCCATGTCCTCTCTCTCTCCCTCTCTCCTCTTCCTCGCTCTCTCGCTCTCGGTCGCTCCTATCCACATGAGGGCTATACATCGTCCGTGGTTTGCCCAAACGCGCTTACACTGACCATAAACCCACAGCCGCACGCACAAAGGCACACACCAGAGCCGTATGTAACTTGAAAGCAAATCGACCGTAGTGAGACTAACGTCGCCGCCCCAACTTCTCCCCGGCCGGATGTGCTCTCTCTCTCTCTCTCTCTCTCTCTCTCTCTCTCTCTCTCTCTCTCTCTCTCTCTCTCTCTCTCTCTCTCTCTCTCTCTCTCTCTCTCTCTCTCTCTCTCTCTCCACTCCCCCGTCTTTCGTTGGTCTCGCTCAAGTAGGCAGGTGCTCGGCGGGGAGGGAGAGAAGGGCGTCGTCTCGGAGGAGGGGCGGGGTACTTTCTAACGCCCTTGCTCCGATCGGTTCAGTGAACCTCACCGCGATGCGGTGGGGAGTGTGAGAGGGGTCAGGAGAGCCACTGAAAGACGAATTTGGAGCCGTAACGCGACTTCACTGAGGGTTAATTTAAAGTCATGGACCAAGTTAGGTAAACAAAGGCACCATGTGGTTGCGTCGTACACGACAAACTTTATGCTTCCACACATCAACATATTATGAATATCTGTTACGCTGGCGAACCCAGTAACCGAAAGCAGAATTGGATGAGCGAGGAGGCATCAAACATTATGACATCATCTCTGACTCAGTATATAAAGTCTAGAGGGTGGAGAAGGGAGATGTTTAGTTCATGGCTGTCTCATGGCGCTCCCGGATCCACCGGCGCTCCTTCATTCATGAGCTACAGGATGTGTTGAAAGCAGCGTGAACTAGGCGGACACAATCCCATTCGCACTTCGGTCAATGGGTCGGAATAATTCCATTAGAATGTGTAGGTACAGTAGATTCGCAACTCAGCACACCTCAGGGGGAGAGGGGGGTCTGATTCAGAGACTCCGTACTTCACTGACAATAGGGAGAGATGACATGTAACTAGGCCGACTACCGAGCAGTATCTATAATTCATTCGTCGACTAACCAGCAGTCTTGTGCGCTACCACCAAATCTACATTACCTCATGTTTAGGGGAGAGTGGGGAAAGATGCCCAGGGTTTGACTATGCCATATATTATTCGAAAAAGACGATCGGGAAGCCAAAACTTGGAGTTTCAACGGAAGCCGACATCATTTTTCTCCAAAAATATCACACTTTCGTGCCTGAAGTATGATAACTTTTTTTGCTATTAAGCATTTTCCTGAAGAAGTGAAAGGGGGCATCTTAACCCACAGGGTGGAAAAGACGCCCCCTGGCGTTGGGTAAGATGCCCCCCTGCACTATAAGTGACATAAATAGGCACGTGAATCGCCTGAACGAATCAGTAGTCCCTTCGAGCCTGCAGTAGACACCAAACGTCATCGTAAGGGCCCTCAAAAGTAGTCGTAAGGGGCTTCAGAGGTCATCGTTAGGGCCATCATAGTCCAGCGCGGCCAAACAAGCCTCCGTAGTGGCGTTCGGACAACTGTGAGGCCCTTATAGGTCTTCGTGATGCTTGAGGGCCCTCGAGCCCATCGTGGGGACCTCAGATGCCAGCGTGGCCCGTGGAGCCAACGTGGGAGCCCTCAAAGGATGTTGTGAGGGGCCCTGGAGCCAATAATGGGGCCCACAGAGGCTGTCGTGAGGGCTCTCAGAGTCAGATGCCGCCCAAAAAGTCGCTGTGTGGGCCGAGAGACCGGCATGGGGAGCACCCGACCGTACTGGACTCTCAATAGTCCCAGATCGGCTTTTGTCTCTCATCACAAGTATGTAATAAATGATTTGACGGGCTGCTTGAAGGACAGCCTACGGATTTAGGGGGGCGTCTTTCCCCATCAGGACAGGGGGCATCTTACCCCAAGGTACCGAAGTAACATTAAATCAGCACAATTTGTTAGCCATAAAGCTACACCCTGAAACAAACTGTTTGGGACACAGTACACGCATGTTAATGTATCACGACTATAGCAAGGGACGCAAAAATTATCTACATTCTTTGATATTTACAATGTTTTGACGCCAAAATATTTTTTGAAAGCAGCAAATAAAAAACATGCAATCACCAGCCAGCCGTTGCCCAACTGAGCTTCGCAAATTTTTGTGCACTTAACAAGACAGGCTTCCGCTTTACGCTAAGAACATTAATTTCCAGGTCCGATTCTTTGTTTCCCCGCTAGAGGGGGTGGGGCGTCTTTCCCACCCTGGGCATCTTACCCCACTCTCCCCTATCTTTTATCAGTCCGTGCTTGAGTTGAGTCTTCAGTCGAGCACGCCATTGACTTCGGTTTGGGGAGAGGGCTATAAACGCCCCCTCCTAGGACTTAGAATATCTCTGAAACTAAGCATCAAGCTAGACACTGGGTTCTCCGACGCACTGTACCCAAAGCCTGTCGAGTGTCGATGCTTCATTTCGGACTCGGCATCACGTCATTTTAAATTGACATTTTGATTCGGGAGCCGAGACCCGGTCGGGTCACCAGGGTGCCTGCCTTTGAGCACCTTCCCAGAAGCCCTCAGCGAACCTCAAGGTCACAGTGGGCTGGGCACCTCTCGTCCTCTCGTCGCGCAGGGGTGCCTTAGACGGCGGCTGAAAGTGAAAGTACCCGGCTCAGCAGCGGAAGCCGCCGGTTACGCCGGTTGGACCGTGCACAGAGGGTCGCAGGACCACTGGGTGGGGGGGGGGGGGGAGATATGGGCTGGGACCGGATATACCGGGCGGGGGGACGGGAGTTCTGGTCGACGAGCGTCTTAGGGTCAAACGATCACTGAACGAAATGGGAATTGGTATCCATACTTAGCGTTTCATAACGTTTTATTCGAAAGATGATTGTCATTGAACATTTAAAAAAAAATGACTTTTTGACTGCTGCCTGCGGGTTGGTGCTGTAAGCTATAACGGGAAAGTCTTAGCTGTTGAGATATTGTCGGCTGGGAACTCACCTCCCCCTTACCTCACCCCCAGCAAGTGGCGGAAAACGAAATGCCTCAGCAACCACGAGCTAACAGACTCAAAGCTGCTTTGACACATCCCGATAAAAAACTCTCTTGGTAAAGCCTTACTGCTGAAGACCTCACGGGGCGGCACCACGTGCTTTGAATGCACCCAACCACACTCCCGCGTCAGCCCCATTGGACAAGGGAATTCCGTCTAAATGACGTCATAGCCCTGAGCTGCGCTGACCTTGCCCCAGTGCCGGCAGCAGGCACCCGTTGTCCTCCAGCGGGCTATCTGGTCGCTTCTGCCAGCGCCTTTGATGCTAATTTCAAATACCGAAAAACACGCACGACTCATGCTCTCGCGAAGCGCCTACCAAACTGTTTTGTTATCGGCTGTTGCATAGATAACACGAATCATGTTATACGTGGTTGTTGTCTACACTTGGTCTGTTATGGGTTATAGGGGAGAGTGGGGTAAGACCCCCCCCCCTAAGGGAAAATGCAAACACTCTCCACAAGATTGCATCCACCATTGAGATATGTGTGCATTAAAATAGACCAACTCTTTCTCCTTCTTTGCGAGCTGGAAATTGTGCATTATCACCTACGTAGTGAGCGACACAGATGTTTTAAAAAAGTCTTGCAAACGGGCGACTTACCCCACGGGGTGGGTAAGACGCCGGCGGGGTCTTACCTTATACTAACCTTATATACTTACTTATACTTACCTTACTTACTTCTTACCTTACCTTATACGTAACTTATAGTCGGGGTCCATTATGGAAGTAAAGCCAGAGCCGGAGTAGGAGCCACCGAAAATCCATCAACTTTGCAGCCATTCAGGGTCTGCCGATTCTGAGTCGGAGTGGAGTCGATCGAAGTCGACAATCGGAGCCATGAGTTGGAGTCGAGGTTGTTTTTGGAAACCGGAGTAGGGGTCTTTGGAGGCGTCGAAAAGGCATATGACTCCGCAGCCCTGACGCAGACAGTGAATTTTGTGTGTGTGTGGGGGGGGGGGTTGCGTCTTACCCTCAACTACCAAATGTCTTTGAGCTCCATTTTTTTCAAGAGATTCAATCGTGAGGCACAAATTCGTTGCAACACGTAAAGCGCCTCTATGAGTTATGGGCAAAATGCATCTGCAACATAATTTGAAGGCCCTCTCCCAGATATTAGATGGAAAACGATGAAACAAAAATGTATATCATCAGAACATGTCAAAACATTAAAGTGCTCACGGCCTGCAAACGACACCACCTACAAACCGAAAATCTTGCCGCGACGAACAAAACGCAGAAACAAACGTTGCAAGAACTTAAAAATATCATATGCATGAACAGTTTTCCTGTTATATCGAAAGTGCGTCTTACCCCACCTGAGCTTCTTACCTCACTCTCCCCTGCATACCTACACTCAACCGATGATTAAGCAGGTTTTGTGAGGATGTCTGTCGCCCTCCGATGCGCAGCTTTTTAGATTTAGTATAAACTTTTGGGTCTTGTGTTATGTGTAGGTCATATCATAGTGCAATAAATAACATTATGGTGGCTATTTATTACACTATGGTCATATGGATGGATATTGGAGATGTCCATTGGGATGGACGGAATAAAGGTTTTGTCTGCCGGAACGCTTTACAATAGAAACTGGTGGTTTTAAGTTGCATCGGCACGGTGGTGCTCGAGCGATGGACAGGGGCTCTCGGCAATATACGACATAAAATGTAAACAGCATGTTATCTGTAACATGACTGATGAGCTATAAATTTAAATTCGAAAAAGGAAAGGCACGTTAACATTGAGCTTTGAGCACTAAAAAACTTATTTGAGTAATAAATTTCAGCTTTAATTATGACTTCGTGGAATGGGTGCGCTCGTCATGTTGGACCAGAAAGGTTGACAATAGGTCAATCCTACACCTGTATCACAAGTGGTAAAGGGCTAGACAGTCGCGCCGCGAATCTCTAAAGAATTACTGGAATGCCCATGGCACATGTGGCGCAGGCTGAATAGAGGCACGAAGGGTGTATTCACATAGCTTATCAGCGCAATACGCGCACGTGTTTTGAGTCGCAGTCTCAGACGGTCACTGCCACTGTGCGGTGGTCGTTGATGTGCGCCGTTCGTCGACAGTCGGTGCTACCGTCGCCCTGTCGCCGCCGCTTCTGCCGGGCCTGATGGTGCTACCGGCACCCGTTTCGGGCTCTCCTACCGTTGCCGCTACTGCTGCGTCTGATCTACTGCTGCCTCAACTGCTACTGCTGCTTATACCGCTACTGCCTCGGCTGCTGCATCTACCGTTACTGCTGTTTCGGCTGTTGGTACTTCTTCCGCTACTGCTGCTTCTATCGCTGTTTGCTACTGCTTTTCAACCGCTACTGCTACCTCTACCGCTGGCTACTGTCTTTGCTACTGTCTCGATCTATCATGGTCAATATTCTGACTCAAGACAAGGGATCTGCATCCAAAGACCCGGAACATGTACCACTGCTCGTAAACTCTTCCACTCTTAGATCGAACTCGCACCCTGAAGCCGGGTCACCTTGCGATGAGCCCTCATCAGTATCTGACGAATCTCCACCGACAAACAACCCTGTCTGCATGTCTCAACCTGGCAGCTCAACAGCGGCTCCCGTCTCCGAAAATCTGTCGGCTGACGGAACAGCTTCCATCACCTGGTCGCCGGTCGGTCTGTTGGCGTGTCTGTCCGCCAGCAGCCTTTTATCCGGGTGCTGCTCAGTCACCCCGTCCCCCTTCTTCACGCACGAGGCACACCGACGCGGTCTGACCAACTCGGCTTCCAGCGCCGTCTTCAGCTCCTTCGCGGCCGCTCAGATGTTGTCGTTTCCCGCAGCCGGCTGGCTGGCACCGAGACTCGGTGTGACGAGGCTATTCACCCTCGGTCTGCTGCTGTCTGGAGTTACCACGGTGCTGTTTGGTCTGCTCACTTACGTCGAATATCCATCTACGTTCCTAGCCTGGTGTGTGACAGTGCGCGTCGCCGAGGCCGTCGGAACCTCCGCCAGTCTGACGGCATCTCGAACCATCATTATCAACCAGTTTCCGCGTCGTATGAACTCGGCCATCAGCCTGGTGGAAGGGATGTATGGAGGAGGTCTGTGTCTGGGACCGGCGCTCGGTGGCGCCATGTACTCCGCCGGAGGGTACGGGGCGCCGTTCTACACTCTTGGTGCACTGATTTTGATCACCGCCGCCGTAAGTCTGCTCCTGATGCCGTCAGTGACGGATCGACCGGACGAGAAGGAAACATGTGCCAATACAAAGGAAGGGTGCGTCAAGACAAGTGAAGAATACGCCAAGACGAAGGAAAGTTGCGCCAAGACGGAGAAAGGGAGCGCCAAAATTAGAGAAGATGACGCCAAGACAAAAGAACAGTGCGCCAAGCTGAAGGAAGGTTACGTCAAGAAGACCGAAGACGAGCTGGAAAGAAGCGATGGAAATCAAGAGTACCGCGCGATGCTACGTCTCGTGCTCTCATCAGCAGACAACTGGCTGATTTGTGTCACTCTCTTCGTCACCGCTCTCAACTGGACGTCTATGGACCCCAACATTGAACCGTACGTTCACGGAGCCCTTGGCATTCAGCCGGCCGAACTGAGCCTCTTCTTCTTGGGCTCTTTCGCCGGTTATGCGCTCTCCAGCCCGGTATGGGGACGGCTTTCAGACACTGTCGATAACACGTTTCTCTTCCTGGCCGCCTGTCTGGCGCCTACCGCTCTTGGCGTGCTGCTGATTCCTCCGTCACCGATATTCGGTCTCCAGCCGTCGCGGCTGCTACTCGGTGTGGGGATGACGCTGCGCGAGGTGTTCCAAGTCGGCGCCTACATGCCTCTCTTACCGCTGATGGTGCGTCTGTCCGTCGTCCGCGGGCTGCAGAGCACCGTGCGCGGCCAGGCGCTGGTGTCGTCAATCTGCGGGGCGGCCTACTCGATGGGTAACGTGCTCGGACCGGTGGGCGGTGGACTGGTTACAGACCTCTGGGGTTACCCAGTGCTGGCCACCGGGCTCGGAGGTGTCACCGCCGTCCTCTGTGTCGCCATGGCGGTACGAGGGGTGGTGTACTGCGCCACCAGGCAGGCGCCGGCGTATGATATGCTGTGAGGAGCGTCGAGAGGAATATTCAGTTCCGGCTCCGAAAGGACCCCGCGGCTAGGCGAGCTGGGGCATTCCATGATAGATCGACCAGCAAAAGTGAAAATCAACACGGTAGGTACATCTCAGATTTTGTTTAAAATACGTTCATAAGTTTATCTGATGCGCTGATTTCAGTTCTGCAAGTTTCAGCTCGATCGGAGCAAGCATTACGGAGTTATAGCCTCCGGCATTTTTCTGAGGTCAGGCAACATGACGATATTTGATGGCTTATATCTAAGTGAAATAGAATAAAATGCAAAACATTAAGATATGGATGTGTTCACAATGAACATAGAAGTATATCTAAGTAAATCTACACCCTTGGTTTTTACAAAATTTTCGTGTTTGATCTCGTGACCTCGTGACCTGGTCGATCTATCGTGTAATGCCCCAGCTGTCAGATTGAGGCTGTTTCGAGTTAATTGCCGTTGGAGATATGTGACTTGTGACAAAATACATATCGCATACAATTTGAATTCGATTATTTTAAGCGCACATCATTGTCGAGATCGAGCTCCCCTCCGCATAGGAAGACAAAAGATTGCTCAGTTGCAAACACCTTTCACAAGCTTCCGGGGATCACCAATTTACTTTTTGCACTAAAACGGTTCAGTGCGTTCGACCCGCATTCTGAACCATTCGGTCCCGGATCTTGCGGTATTCACAGGCTGGTTAACTTGCGGCATGTATGGGGAAGGTTACACAATGCTGCAATGGTAGACTGTGGGAGCAGTGGATAGAATTAGGTATAACGACCACTCCATATTACCCATTGGCATTACTGTCTGGTGGCGCAGGCAAAGAAAATTGACCCCGTATAAACCCGTAAAATATTTATATGCAGCGCACGCTGGGCCGGCGGGCCGGAAAAGCGCTAGAAATACCCCCAAGAGTGACTTTCCACAATATGAACAAAATATGTATCATTCAATCCCAAATTGATCAAAGCATACGATTCTGATGCCATTTTTGCCCCAAGGTCGAAATTGAGGTGGTCAGTTGTCACCAAACACAACACTATTTAGACTCGCTAGTGGCCACCACATTTGCCGATTTTGATGCCAATCTTTAGTTGATGTTTATTAGTTGACCAGTTGTCGTTTTGAACGCAATTTTCTGTCAGACTAGTTCAGGGCACTGTTGTTCACTGTACCAACAACATTCTTAGGGGAAGCCGGGGGAAGCCCGGGCGCGGGGGAAGCCCGGCCACCCCGTTTCCGGCTAAATTATTCACAATAAAATGCTCAACTGTTTGTCCTTTCAGCGTGGCAGCTAAAGTAACGCCAGCAAAAAAGTTAAGGCTGACAAAAATTGCATATTGTTAAAGTTATAGCGCAAAAATGATATTTTAAGGGTTTTTAGCTAAAAAGTGAGATATGTTGCACTGTTAATGTTATACCATACAGTACTAATATTTATACGAATGTTATGTAAGGACCGTTTAAGTGTTTGTAGTGAGGGGTGACGAGGCAGGCTGGCTTAAGTATGACATTTTTTCGAATATCGCTGTTCTAAAATAAAAATTAGCACATTGGGGTAACCCCGGGCGAGTGGCCAAGCTTACCCCCAACCGAGAGCAATGCCACTAAACCACTGTTTTCCATGAGATAATAGGTACTGAGCAGGTTTGGTTTACACCTAGATCAAAGATAAATTTCGAAAATAAACATGTTATCATAGACAAAGCCAGTCATGTCACTTAAGGTCAACTAGGGTCAAACTACGTTTTTGCAGATAACGCGACAGACAATGAAGCTAGAGCTTCAAAAATGGTGTCGTTGTGTTCTTCTTCATCAGCCGAGTCGAATGATATGCAATATGATGCATTAAGGTAAAAAGAAAAATAAATTTTAAGGAATTTTGAAATACACATTTTTTGTCAATTTTGCATCACGATTTTCATCGACCTGTACTGTATATGTAGTAGACGCTAGCTAAAATACCAGTAGTGACATAAACTCTAAAGATGTCCAGAGCTAATCAGTACCTTAATATTTCACTTTCCGTTAATATTTGGAAAACACATAATGGTTTCATCAACTCGTTGTAAAGCGCTGGGGAGGTGGCCGGCGTTACCCCTATGCCGGGCTTACCCCAGAAAAATCAACACTTTTTTAAAACTCGATTTTCTCAACCTTATACTTATTCCACGAAACCGAATTTTTGGGAAAACACGGCCAGTGAACTTAGCTAGCTAGCAGGATATTAACATTTTATACAGCACGTATGGTATGTAATAAAAATGAAAAAGAGCTTACTATGCCGGGCTTCCCCCGGCTTCCCCTACATATTGCATCGCTTTTCTGCAAGATAAGCTAGCTTTTTGCAAGCAGCTGCAAGACCTAAATAAAAATCATATCTAAATTTTTAAATAGACTTTTATAAAAACGTTATTTCGAGCGGCTAAAAATGAACATCTTATACTAGCCTCTGATTACTGATCTTTCGTTCCATATAGGTGCTTTGCTGCTTTTCCCTGCTACTTTTCGAGATATGCGCCAGTAAACCACATGATGTAGGGGCAATTGTCACCTCGCCGCTCTACTGACCGGCGCTCTTTAAAGCGCTGAAATTTATGAAAAACGAATGCTTATCATCTGAATAAAATATATGTCCCTGAGCTCAGAATTGATCAGCGCACACAATGCTGTCAAAATTTTTGGGCCAAAGTCAATAATTAAGTCATTATGAACCCCCAAACACAAGTCAGTGATAATCAATAACAGCTTGCTTTTTAGTTAGACTTTTTGTGAAATGTTATTTCGAGCCGCTAAAGATGAGCATGTCATGTACACAACTAGTCAATTGTCTGCCATGCGCTATTGACGATTATTGCCTATTACTGCTACTTTTCGAGATATCGTCTGCTAAGTCACCTGATATAGCTGCTATGCCACCCTACCGCTCGGGATCGCACGGCGCCTGCTGTGACCTGACCGGGCAGCGAGTTACCCAAGTGTGGAACTATAGGCGACGTGCCGAGCGAATGACGTCACACCACGGCCAGTGCCGGCGCGGCGGCAGACTTGCCGAGATTGGCATGGTCTTAACTTGGCGGAGAGGCATCGGACGCCATACTTCTGCTGCAGCTAGTTAATTGCATTTAATTTTAGCGCATTGCGTTTCTTTCGTGTGTATCAGCTATCAAGTCCTTCAAATACCTAATATGTAGGACAGGTGCGTGTACCTACATTTAGTGTATGCTATGCTAGTGGATTGAGAATTGGGGGGGGGGGGCATATCTGACACACTTCTCAATGGATTCTGCCATTGTTTGGTTGATAATGGCTTTGTGTCTTCGCGCAAACCATTAAAAGGGAGGACGTCATTTGTAAAGGTTGTTAGGTGCACTCAAACGTTTAAGATAAGCAACTGCTCATTGAATTTCTGGCGAGTGGTGGTGGAACGTTCTGTTCACAAATGAGTAGGTCCCTACCTAGTACCTACCTACCCAATGGCAAATAGCTGGGTCGCGGTCAATACGCATTATTCACGAAGTCCCTAATCTTTAATTAGACTTAGCCCTTAAAAATTGCAACATTTTCGTCTTTTTCGCGTTGCATCGGTAAGCAAATGAGAAAATCTGCATCTGCTTGACAGCCCTCTATTCAACAAACCTTTTCCACATCGCATCATTCCCGAACATAATTTTCAAACATGGGTATCCTCCCCACAACAAAACTGAAGCAGTTTCCTTCGGCTCTAATGCGCCGCTCGCCCAGGGAGACGGGAATGTTATATTCTCGGCGGCCCAGTCTGCACTCTGCAGCACACTCAAACTTGGCGGACCCCTAGCGCATGACTGCACGATTCGTATTGTTGTGACGACAGCAAATGAATTCACTGGTGTTTCAGAATCAACAGCAGTGTTGCCGTCCTGGTACTTTAGTACCAGATCTGGTACTTTTTCGACCTTTCTGGTACGGAGGTACGCCGGAACGAAATCTGGTACTTTTTCGCCGAAATGCATTTTTTTGGCATTTTAATATTTCTTAACAATTCTTCAAGTCAGGAAGGATGGTGTTTCTTATCATAACTTATCATGCATCGGATTCGGAATTATTAATACCTATTCCGGTTGTGTGATAGCAGAAGTAAACAAGTGTAAAATTCGCGCGCCACGCCGGCTGCCAAGGACGGTCCGCCGGCTGCAGGCTGAGGCAGTTGTTGTACTTGTGTCCAAGGCCAGTTGCGTGGACGGTCAAATAGCTAAGGAAAGAATCTTATTTGAATCAGTGTCCAAGATTGTGCGATTTGGTTAGAAAACTAAATGACACCCAAAAAAACAATTTTCCATAGTCACTGGCATATTACTGTGGCTGTGGCAATTTTCACTCCTTCATTGCATGTTAGGATCCTGGGTGCAATCGCCATTCGCCAGTCTCAACTGGAGTGCCCCCCCCCACCCCCCCCCCCCCAGGAGTACCCCCTCTCAAAGGCAGGATTTCGATTTTTCTATGTTTAGGCCAATTTTAGGTATATGGCGGCCCCGGTGGCGCAGTCGGTTAATTGGCGTCGTCCCGCGGTGTGGGGGGTGCCGGGTTCGATCCCCGGTTCCTCCCGTTCTGCGGGGCGTCGTCCCTGGCTGCGTCACCTGGTGTGGGGTAGGGCTCCCACTTCAGCCGTAGCCTGGGGGGTGGGGAACAAGGGCCAGGAGGAGGAGGAGCCCTCCTGTAAATGGAATACAGTGCCCGTTGGAGGGAGGTCCGATTAAAAAAAAAAACAATTCGGGCTTTCAGAAGAGCGCCTTTCTGTCTTTAACGGGCGAGGCGGGGAGACGAATGGGTGAATTACCGGGTCAATGGGTCATACATTACTTACTGGCATGAACATACCGAAATTATGGCTATTTTTATAGTACTGAATCAAAAATATTTTGACCTACAACGATCTGGTACGGTATAGAGCCAGAAACAGCCAATCTGGTACGATTTGGATGCGATCCTGGTACGCTGTAAAATCTGGCC